ATTGCTTGCGCCTGCATCTTCTTGGCAGCCTGCAAACTAGATGTGCCTCTCCCGCTTCACCCAGCCTGGTACGAAATGTTCAACGTCGACGACGAGTCTGTCCGTGAAGTGGCTTTCATGCTCATTCGACTTTATGCCCGGCCTAAACCAGATATTTTTTATTTGGAGGAGAAATTGGCTGATCTGCGTCGCTCCCGAGCTGAGGCCCGAGAGCTAGGTCAACAAGCTAAACAAAGTTTGACATATAGCAGTGGCCAAAGCACGCCTAATCCAACATCTACTGAAGCTGGCTCAGCTGCTATCTCTCCAGGAAATGTAGAGCTTGCTCCCTCCAACGGTTTGTTTTAGTGTCATCTATATGTGTATTTATGGCTTTTGCTTTTTGCCATTTTACTTTTATCCTCAGTTATTAATTATTACTACTATTTATTACATTCCTCCATTTAATCGTAAGTTATCTCAGCTATCAGAATTTTACTCGCTATTCTGTATCTTCCATTTTATAGCGAGTAACACGCTTACATCAAATCCCAACCTAGCCAACGCCGTTGCCACAGCCATGGCTGTGGCTGCTAATATTGTCGCTGCCAAGTCTAATTCGGGTTTGGCGTCTTCCATAGTACCTAGTGATCCTAGGCCTTCCGTGAATCCTGTTAAGCTTGCGTCTGCCTTCCAACAAGCTGCGCTTACCAATGGCAAGGCGGATCCATCGGCCAAGGAACCGGACTTCATATCCCCCGGAGAAGCCTCCAGCTCAAGTGGGGGTGGGGGCGACACAAAGGCTCGACTAATGACAGCTAGTGCTGCCGATTCTTATCGTGATAATCGTTCCTCTAAGAAATCTACATATGGTCTAGCTAAAGAAGCCAAGAGGGAACATGGTGGTTCATCTTCCACACATAAACGTAGACGTCCTTCTAGATCTAGGTCTCCAGCTCCACTTCCATATGGAGAAAAGGTTCAACGTGTCAAGTAAGTATATAAAACAAACATTTTGAATTATTTTTTGTACTGGTAAATAAGTTTTACCTCATGTTTTTGTACTTAATAGGAATTCTGAATCTAGTAGCCATTCTCGAACCGTTCATAGCAGCTCTGTTGCTGATGTAGAAAGAAGTCGTCCCAATCAGGATACAAACAAGTCGATTTCTTCAATCAGCCGTAGCGGTGACGTATCACCTCATTCCCAATGTGATGATATCTCTTTATCTTCTGCCATATTCGACTCCAGCCAGCTGGCTTTCATTTCTCGTCTCCGCGC